ACGTGACCCAGTAATTCTCTGGGTCTTCCCAAAAGAATGGAAAACAGACTCAGGCAAACGCTTGTATGTGATTGTCCCTAGCAACGTTATCCACATAGTCAAGAGATGGGAATAGCCTGAATGTCCATCAGCTAGTGAATCGATAAACAAAACATGGTATATTTACACAGCCTTAGAGAGGAATAAAGTACTGACACAAGGTGCAATATGGATTGTGTTAGTCTGTTTGCATACAAATACCTGGCCTGGCACGGTGGCTCACGCCTGTAATCCTAGGACTTTGGGAGGCCAAGGCCGGTGGATTGCCTGAGCTCAGGAGTTCAAGACCAGGCTAGCCAACACAAGGAAACCCCATCTCTACTAAAATACAAAAAAATTAGCTGAGTGTGGTGGCATGCACCTCTAGTCCCAGCTACTTAGGAGGCTGAGGCAGGAGAATTGCGTATACCTGGGAGGCAGAGGTTGCAGTGAGCTGAGGTCGCACCACTCCAATCCAAACTGGGAGACAGAGCAAGACTCTGTCTCAGGAAAGAGAGGAGAATGATAGAGACAGAGGAAAGGAAGATAGAAAGAAAGAAGAAGGAAAGAAAAAAGGAACGAAAGATAAAGAAGAACGAACGAAAGAAGGAAGAGAGAGAGAGAAAGAGAAGAGAGAGAAAGAGAGAGAAAGAGAGAGAGAAAGAGAGAAGAGAAAGAAAGAAGAAAGGAAAAGAAACCAAGGAAAGGAAGAAGAAAGGAAGAAGGAAGAAAGTGAAAGAAAGAAGAGAAGAAAGAAAGAAAGACCTGACACAGGTAAGTTGTAAAGAAAGAGGTTGTTCTGCAGACGGTACAGGAAGCACAGGTGGCTGGCATTGCTTCTGGTGAAGCTCAGGAAGCTTATGATCGTGGCGGAAGGCAACTGGAAGGTAGCCTGTCATGTGGGCAAGAGAGGGAGCAAGAGAGAGAGGGAGGAGTTGCCAGGATCTTTTAACCACCGGCTCTTGAGGGAGCTCATTGAGTGGGAACTAATTACTGTGAGGACAGGCACCAAGCCATTCCTGAGGGAGGGCCCCCATGACCCAGTCATCAACCCTCAGGCCACCTCCACACACGGAGGTTCCACATTTCAACAGGAGACTTGGAAAGAGGGTCAAAATATCAAACATGTCACGAATGAAGGCTCAAAAGCGTTTGGCTAGAGGAAAGAAGGTCAGACCACAAAGTTATCCACATATTGTATGGTTTTCATTATATGGGAATGTCCGGGAATAGGCAAATCCATAGAAATGGTAAAGTCAGCTGGTGTGGCCAGCGGCTGGGCAGGAGGGGGGGTTATGGGGCACTGGTAGGAGAGGTAATGTTGGCCCTCCTTGGGGTGTGATGAAATGTTTGGAACTGGATAGAAGTGAGAGTTGTAATATTGCCATGTACTAAACGCCACTGAATTACACACTTCAAAATGGGTAATTTTATGTTATGTGAGTTTCACCTTGATTTTTTCAAAAGAGAGGAAAAGGAGTGCTTGTGGCCACTGCCAAGAAGAGAAGGGTAATCTAGTGAGGATTGGGCTTTACGCAGATTCCCACCTGGCCATCCCAGTAGCCCTGTGATGGACCTATTCATGTGAATACTTCCATTCTACTGGTTAGGAGCCTGGGGCTCCTGCCCAGGCTTGTGTGGGTTGTGAGTGGCGGTGCTGGGTTTGAAGGCGTCTGTGAAGGTCTGTGGCTGTCTTATGCAGTCCTTCCCACAGGCCTGCCGCTCTGCTTCTTGCCTTGCAGCAATCATCTCATCTAATTTCCACAACCCGTACAGCAGATGCTATCTCTGTGTCATAAAGGGCATGGGTGGACAGGGGGTTTAGACCCAGCCTGGTGACAAGTGATCAGAGGACAGGAGGACCCTGGCCCAGGGCCTTGAAGGAGGACAAATCATGGGGCACTTGGGAAGGCACAGACAGACAGTAAGAGGCTGTGATGAAGCGACTCAGAGGGAACGCGGGCTTTGGGAGCAGGCACATCATGCGGGGCTGGAGAGCAATGGGACTGGGTCTGCAGCGCTGCAAGGAAGGAAGTCCAGGGGAGGAACAGCACACGCCAAGCACAGTGTGAGCCAAGAACAGGGCCCCAGGGGACTGGAGGCCTGGTCAGGTGAAGGAGCCGACTGGTAGACAGGCGGACCAGGTGGACATGGCTAGATCATGCAGGGCTCCTGCCAGGTGCCAACCCCCACTCCTGTGTCTCCCCGGAGGCAGGGGCCCTTGTGCCACCTCTGGTGGCCATTAGGATGGAACCTGAACTTGGGATATGGAAGGCAGATGGGGGTGGGGAGAGCAATGCTATGGGCAGGCCGAGCGGGCACCCTGGGACTCTGGCTCAGCTGTCAGTCCCGGGAGAAGAGAGGCCTGAGGAATTCCAGGAGGCAAGGGGAGGAGCCGGCCCCCACTGCCCCTGCCTCAGAATCCTCCAGGCGGATGTCCCAGCACCAGGAAGTGAGTAACTGCCTTTCCAGACCTGCAGACGACAGCCCCACTGCCAAGGACAGAATTAGGAAGCACGGCCAGGCCGACTGCCAGGCTGAGGGCTACTTCCCGCCAAACCTGGGGATGATCGATTATCTGCCATCCCTATCAGCCCAGGACCCACCGTCACCTCCCAGGGCAGCAGAGGGATAGACGGACGGAGGAAGGACTGGCCTCTTTTCTTCACCTTGCCCTCCACCTCGGGCCCCTCTCCTTCTCACTTCGGAAGGTTTTTGCACCAGGAATAGCCAGGACTTTGTTTGCTTTAAGCACTTATTTCTTCCAAACGCATTTCATAAACCCTTCAGAGGACTTTGCATATTTCCTTAACACTAAGGACCTCTATTTATAAGACAGCAGCTTTCAGGGGAAAGGATAATAGCAGATTAAATCTACCCACTTCAATTTCTTAAGTATTCGAATGGAGAAAAGTCCCTGAGTTGGGGAAGTCCCTGCCAAGCCCTGGGCGAGGAACTAGGCATTTCCTCTCTCCCTTGTTTGCCCGGCAACCTCTGGAGGAGGAGGGTAAGGTCGGGCTCATTTCCCCAGAGAACTTGCCCCAGGTCTCTGTGCTGGAAGCGGTGCTGCCCGGTTCAGAGACGCTCAAAGTGAGTCCAAGATGTTCCATCCAGCGGCCACGCTTTCCACTCAAACTGGGACTTGCTTCAAAGGCAGAAAGAAGACAGCGGCGTCCTAACAGACACCAAGGCAAGAGACCCCGTCACATCCTTCCTTGCTGGTGTTGTTTCCCTACATTGGCTAACCACACCCACCGAAAATGGTGCTTAGGAGGAAAGGGGCGGGCAGGGCCCCCCAGTTCCTGCTCCTTTCAGTCCCCCCGCTCCCTGTAAGAGGAAGGTAGAGAGTGCTGATGAAACATGCACATACCAAGAAGTGAAAGGAAAACAGATGAGCTTGTTTTCTACAGTGTTTCTGCTGTCCTGGTAAAAACAAAATACACGTGCGCCTGCAAGCTGTGAAAAAGAAACTGCACAATCCTGGTAGTTTTAAATAAGAGCTAAATGCACTGGTTTTTGTGTTTGTAACTGGCCTTGAGTGATATCAAGGTGAATGGTAAATGCATGCTAATAATTTAACATTTTAATTTTTCTATACTTGAAACAACATTAAATAGCAAATTTCAAATATGCCATGACAGGCCGAGAGCAGGTGGCTCACTCCTGTAATCCCAGCACTTTGGGAGGCTGAGGCGAGGAGATCACTTGAGGTCAGGCCAACATGGTGAAACCTCATCTCTACCAAAAATACAAAAATTAGCTGGGCATGGTGGCACACACTTGTAATCCCAGCTACTAAACAGGCTGAGGCAAGAGAATCGCTTGAACCCGGGAGGCAGAGGTTACAGTGAGCCAAGATGACACCACACCACTGCACTCCAGCCTGGGAGGCAACAGAGTGAGACTTGGTCTCAAAATAACAAACACACAACAGCAAAAAAGAACACTTGTCATGACAAGACAAAAGAGAGACCACAGAAGAAAGGAAAAAGCCTTATGACTTAATACCTTTACCAACACTTCTTTCCCACTTTTTGAGGAACAGGCCCCTTTTTCACTTTGTACGGAGTCCCGCAAATTCTGTGGTTGGCCTGGCTGTCATACGTTTTTGTGAATGCGCAGGAAAGGATGGTGGCTGGAGGTGGAGCAGTGCAAGAAGAAACAGAGCAATAGGAAAGGGGGAAATTCCGCTTACAACAACAGCATGTGTAATATGATCCTGTTCATGTAAAGTGGGGTATTTTGAAGTACAGACATATATAACACTATATAATGAATATATGTAAACACACAGAAACATGGCATCAAATTCTTTTTTTTTTTTTTTTTAATTTGAGACACAGTTTCACTCTGTCGCCCAGGCTGGAGTGTGGTGGCGCCATCTCGGCTCACTGCAACCTCCACCTCCTGGGTTCAAGCGATTCTTCTGCCTCAGCCTCCCGAGTAGCTGGGATTACAGGCTCCTGCCACCACACCTGGCTAATTTTTGTATTTTTCTATTAAGAGATGGGGTTTCACCATGTTGGCCAGGCTGGTCTCAAACCCCTGACCTCAAGTGATCCACCTGCCTCGGCTTCCCAAAGTGCTAGGATTATAGGTATGAGGCACCGCGCCCAGCTGGCATCAAATTCTTAATCATCTCCAAGCTGTACACTTTTCAGTTGATTTTCACTTTTTATCGTACACATTAAGTTCAAACAGTAGAGAAACAACACATCCATATTATGTATGTGATCAGCCATTTTTTTTTTTTTTTTTTTTTGAGACAGAGTCTCACTCTGTTGCCCAGGCTGGAGTGTAGTGGTGTAATCTTGGCTCACTGCAACCTCCGTCTCCCAGGATCAAGTGATTCTCCTGCCTCAGCCTCCCGAGTAACTGGCATTACAGATGTGTGCCACCACATCTGGCTCATTTTTGTATTTTTTAGTAGAGACGGGGTTTTGCCATGTTGGCCAGGCTGGTCTTGAACTCCTGACCTCAGATGATCCGCCTGCCTTGGCCTCCCAAAGTGCTGGGATTACAGGCGTAAGCCACTGCACCCGGCCATGATCAGCTTTTTTAAAACGCTGCATTTTCATCTGGGGAAAGGGAAGACACGCAGATGGAGTCAGACTTGGGCTCAGCCTGCAGGATTTAGGCCAAGTTAAGTAACTTCTCTCAGCCTCTGATTCTCCATCTGTAAAATGGGGATACTGACTGGTAACCATATCATCGGGCTGTTGTGAAGGGTCGTGTGCTTATGTAGGGCCTGCTACGGAGATCACTTGGCAGCGAGTCGCCATGCGGGGCTAGGGCTGGGGGGGCTCATGCCTGTGCCGGAGGACCGCGCCCCCACAGGCCGTGCAGGAGGCCTCTAGGAAGGGATGCCAGAGGCAGAGGCGGCATTCATGGGCACACGGGCTGGGAGGCGCTTTGGGGACGCAGAGGCTCTGTAGGGTTCTTAGGTGTGAGCGTTAGCGCCGAACTACAGGCTCTGCATGGGTTTGGCCATGAACCCAAATCAGCGCTTATCCTCTGACCCTGCTTTCCCGTTTCCCTGCTGGTCTATCTGACGTGTGTGTAACTGGTCAGCCTTTTGCAGGGCAGCTGCTGATCCACAGAGGACCTGGGAGTGGCTTTCTAGTCAGCACTGGGGCGTTCTGGACAAAAGCACAGCCTGCTCCTGGAGGCCGACGAATAGAATAATGGCCTTCCCGGGGGCACCTGTGCCTCACACACAGACATGTGGAGAGAATGTTCGGGAACATCGGGGTGGAGGGTGGACATTCATAAACAAACATATACATACATGTCTACAGCCCGCTTTTATGCTGTTCTGTTTGGCCCGGTCTTTCCTTCGTTCCAGTAAGGTTGGATCTAGGTACTTTTCCCCATAGACTGCTTGTGGTCCTTGCAGAGGGCGCCTCCTGTGTGCCGGGCGATAAATAGCAACAAGTAAGACGGAGTCCTTGCCTCGTGGTGTTCTCAGTCCACCAAGAAAAATTCCAGGGTGTGTTAGAAAACAGGCAGGCAAGAGGTGCGGACAGGACCAGGGGCTTCAGGAAAGGCCCCCACGCAGCCTCCCAAGAGAAGAGCAGGCATTCAAGCGAGGGTGAGAAAAGGCATTTCAGGCAGAGATGGTCACATCAAAGGCCCTGGGTCAAGTGCAATCCTGCCCCACTCAGGAGCATAAGGGGGATCTGTGGGACTGAAGTACAGAGGGCTGGCCATGGCTGGGGCGGCTGCAGTGGCCCGGGAGAAGGGAGCAGGAGGAACAGCTTCTTACCGTGCCAGGTAAAGGAGCCCTGCTAAGTGGTGCAGGGTTTTGCCAAAATAACTGGATCCCTCCTGTGGTCCTTGCTGAATGCAGTTTGGCTGACTCGAACGTGGAGCCTTTACAGGGCTGAGCCACCTCCTGCAGACCCCAGCCAAGCAGACTGAGTGGTGAGGAGTGTAATAAGGTTGCCGCTGCAGGGACTTTGCAGGAGAGTTGAGGCAAACCTTCTCATAGCAAAAATGCAGTACAAAAGTGTGCCATTCCAGACATAAACTGAGTGCTACTGAGTCCTCAAGGAGCACTTTGAAATCCTCATCCTGGCTCTGCCCATAGGCAGGGGACTGGCCTCAGGGTAAACTCCTCTGAGGCATGGGGATGTCTGATTCATTCACTTCTACTTGACAATGTACTGCCTGGTTATGTGGGTATCTGATAAATGAGTGTGTGGGTGGATAGAGGGAGGGAGGGAAGGAGGGATGGACCAATGGACGGATGGACAGATGGATGGATGGATGGATGGATGGATGCATGGATGGATGGATGGATGTACAGATGGATGGATGAATGGATGGATCGATGGATAGATGGATGGACAGATAGACAGGAGAATAAGTGAATGAATGGATGCATAGGTGGATAGGCAGGTGGGCAGATGTGTGGGTAGATACCAGTGTAGATGAATGGAAGAATGTGTAATTATTTTACAAGATTAAAAGATTATTTTGATGGCAGGACACAGCACAGTGATACTCAGAGAAATGAAAGGTAGGACTTTTGTTTCTTACAGCTCCAAATGAGATGCTGTCAGGCTGGGCCGCACAGGATGTGCAGCTGGGGACAGGGGGTCCCAGCAAGCTGGAGCTATAGGTGGCAGCTGTGTGTGACACATGGGGCGGTGTTAAGGAGGTTTCTTTGGCTGCCTATGGATTGGCTGATTTGAATAATTTTGTGAGTTCCAGATGATAGGAGCTGTCCATTATTATTTGGTACTTGGCTCCAAGGCAATCAGGGCAGGTGCCTAGTGGCCCAGAGTGTGAGAACCTGGTAAGAGAAAGGGCCAGAATGTGAACTTAATCAGCTGCTCACTAACTGACTGGCCTCCAGCCAGGACCTCAAAATTGGGTTAAAGTAGACTTTTGAAAAAACTATATGACGGAGATGGACAGAGACGTGTGTAGATGGACAGATGTCTTTTGGAGATTTCTCTGTCAATGATATTTACAGAAGTGTCAACACTGGATTCAGATCCTTGAGAATTTTCAACTCATAGATGCAGAGCCCTACAATATCTAAGTTGGAAGAGACTTCAGAGGGTCTCTAGATGCTCATGCAGGTCTCCATATGTTGTGGATCTCACAGTTCTTCAATATTTTAGTGAAAGCTGTAGATGAGGCTCCACAGGGGATAAAGCACAGACACACGTTTTCAGAGGGCTGGTGGACTCTGGGCAGCCTATCCACAGACCTCTGTCCCCAGCTGGGAAGTCAGGAAACTCCAGATTAAGGAGCCCCGATGTGGTTGAACAGGCATGTGCACAGAGGAGTCAACCACACAGCCAAGCCAGGGAGGCCCTTCACTCAAGGGCCTACAGCCAGTTCACAGCCAAGACAGGGCTAGTGCCCAGGCCACCCATAAACTTGTCTGAGACTCTGTTTCCCTGTCTCCATGATGATGGGATCAGGCTGGATCGCTGGTTTATAGGCTTGATATGAATCAAGTCACAGGGAAGGGGAGCGGATGGGCTCGGGAGGCGTCCTCTGGCCCTCCTTTCTCTTCCCCAGATCCACTGGGCCCACTCTTATCTGTTCTCTTCTGAAGGAAAGGTTTTAAGGCTTCAAAAAAAAATGTTTTTGAAAGTCCCTGCCCTTTCCAGCTCCTACTGTCTCAGCCCTGGGAGTGTAAAGTGCTACAGATTGTTAGTAAGTCTTTGAGCAAAACCGAGAAAGCCAATCTGAGCATTGACATGGAAGAAACCACCACCATATATCTCCAAAGAAAGGGCCGCATGTCTCAGGGGAGCGCGAACACCCATTCCCAGGAAACAGGACAGCTTCTGCCACTGTCGCCCTTGGGAGCTGTACAAAGAAATCCCAGGACTCCCCCTGCCCTCCTGGCCATCCTCTGTTTACACCTTCCGCGTAAACGCCCACTGTTTACATCCAAAACTCAGACACAAAACAACCACCTTAGGAAAATAAATAGTGATAAGAAATAAACGTTACGTGAGGCGAATTTATTCACATGGGGCTCCACAGGCCACTTTGCGGTCAGCCGGGAGGGACGCTTTTGCCATACCACAACTCCAGTGGGGAGCTGGGCTACGCAAACGTGGAAATCTTCCAAGAGCCTTGCTGGCCCCAGGGCTCAGAGGGTGGCAGAGCGGAGAGCAAAGGTGACCGCAGCCACCCCGGCTCCACAGGCAGCCTGGCTCGGGCTGGGCAGGAGAGCAGAGCTCGGCTGGGGGCGGAGGGGGAAGTGCCCAGGAGGCTGATGACATCACCACCCAGCCCTTGAAAGATGAGCTGTTCCCGCTGCCACTACAGCTCTGGCCTCTGGGCTCCAAGGAGGGGCGGAGACGGTGGGGACATCAGGCTGCCTCGCAGTACCCAGGGAGTGACTGAAGTGCCCATGCTGCTTGCTCCGGAGAAGGTGGGTGCCGGGCAGGGACTGGTCCAGCCGCCTCACCTTTGCTGGGAGGACAAGCTGTCCCAGCCCAGGGGGAAGGAAGGCAGGCAGCCGGGAGAAGTTTCCCTCTGGTCGTGGGGAGTTGGGAAAAGCTCCCTTCCTTCCGGAGGGGAGGTCTGACAGGCAATGGGAAGAAGGGTTCCCAGCAGGAGGAATCGCCCTGTTTGTCTGTTGTAGGTTTCTCTTCTCTGAATCAAGGTGACAGACAGGCTTGTGTGTGTCCAGTATGTGAGGGATTTCGTGATTGGATTTTCACATACTTTGGGTGGACACCTTGGAGTAAAGCAGCGAGGCGTGGTGCAGCAGGGATGGGTGCTGGGTGGAGGCGCCAGAACCTGGCTTTTCACTCACAGCCATGCCACTCGTTGGCCCTGTGTGACCCTGGACAAGCTACTCAACCTCTCTGAGCCTCAGTTTCTCTGTCTGCAAAGCAGCCTGCTTGCTGGCTCCCTGGGGATGGCAGGGTTAAATCAGAAGCAGGCAGGAGGGGTTAGTGAATACTGGCTGATGTGTGTCCAGGAGGCAGGTGGTGGTGACTATCTCAGAAGGGCTTAGCGACCCTCTTCCCACGGTCCTCACTGACCGGGATAGGGGGGCAGGAAGGTGCAGGGGTTCCGAGCACTGGCTTTGCATCCAGCCCAGGCTGGAGTTCCAGTTCTGCTCTCACCCTGTGAGTGACGTTTTTGGGCGAGTTATTTTGTCGCCGTCTCCTGAGCTGTAAAGAAGACCTGGTAATTCCTCTTTATGGAAAGATAGAGGTAGGCTCTTGCCTGTGGAGCACCACGGGTGTCATAGGCGCTAAATAAATGGCAGCCGTGATTGGAGTTGCTGAAGAGTAGGTCGCTTCCACAGCCTGGGTGGAGGTGGACAGCAGGTGTTGCTGTTCCGGGCGGGTCAGAATGTGCCTCACTGAGTCACAGGCCGCCTGTGGCTCCCCAGCCTACAGGAAGTGGGAACTCTGGCACGGGTGTGGGGTGACAGGGGGCTCCCCAGCCAACCCCACCCCAATTCCATTTCTGAGTGGGAGAAGGGCTTAGGTGGCAGGGAGACTGGTGAGCGACCCCAGAAGACATTGCTAACATCCCCTGCCCAAGGTTCTCTGGAGAAAAACCTCTGCTGTGTCCTTCGAGCCCTGGCAGCAGCAAGCGACATTCCACACTGTGAGCCCCATAAGCTTGGAGGAAGCATTTGCTCTTTCCCCTGCCTGGGGAAAGACAGCCAGGAGTAGGCGTCTTTGGATGAAAAAGAGGAAGCGTGTGTGCTGTCCCCACAGGCAGGAGCCCAGGCCTCATCCCAACTCTCCCTGCAACTCTGCACTCCAAGCCTCTCACTGCACAGAGGAAACTGAGTCTCAGAGCAGGGACATGACCTCAGCCAGCCTTCCACTCAGTGTCCAGGGAAATCCCTCAACCTCTTTGGGGTTCAGTCTCTTTGGGATTCCCTCCCTTGCAAACAGGAGGAGGTTCCCATGGCTGGGCCTGCACAGTGGGTCTGAGGACTTTGAATGTGGTCGTTGCCTGCCAGTGGGATCCAACATGGAAATATTAGGTTGGTGCAAAAGTCATTGCGGTTCTTGCCATTAGAAGTAACGCCAAAAATCGCAATGACTTTTGCACCAGCCTAATAACTGCGCCACGTGGTCTCTGCTAACACAGTGACTGACTCAGTAACAAGTTCGAGGGCTCCAGGGGTAACATTAGGGCAGCCCCCTCACCTGTGCTGCTTGTGGTCAGGGAGGGGCCCGCCTGGGCGGAGCCAGGGGAGCCCTGCAGACTTGCCCGATGTCGTAGCCTATTTGAGTTGCTATAAGAAATACTTTAGACTGGGTAATTTATTGAAAAACAGACATTTATTGCTCACAGTGCTGGAGGCTGGGGAGCCCGAGATCAAGGTACTGGCAGATTGGGTGTCTGGTGAGGACCTAGTCCTCATAGATGGCATCTTCTATGCATCCTCATACGGTGGAAGGGTGAACACGCTCTCCTAGGCCTCTTTTAAAGAGCACCAGTTCCATTCACAAGGAGGGGGACCTCATGATCTAATGACCCCCCAGAAGCCTCACCTCTTAATATCACCACCTTGGGGATTAAGTCTCAACAGGTGAATTTTGGAGGGACACAGGCATTCAGATCATAGCACCAGGAGACTCTGGTTTTCAGAATGAAAGCAGGGGCCTCGTCTATCCTCTCAAGCTGCCTCTTTTGCACTCAAAATGATGCCTAGCCCAACATGGATCAGTGTTTGCTGAAATGCTGAATGGTTAAATGAATACATAAATATTGCTCATATAGCAGGCCATAAAAAAGCACACAGAACCTATCACTAAGTGAACGAAGCCACTCTGAAAAGGCATATGCTGTATAATGTCAACTATATGTGACATTCTGGAAAAAGGCAAAACTATGAAGACAGTAAAAGATAAAAAAAATCAATGGTTGCCAGGAATTAGAGGGAGGGAGGAGAGAACTGGAGGAGAAACGCAAAGGACTTTTAGGGCAGTGAAACTTCTGTATGATACTGTAATGGTAGATACATGTCATTATGCATTTGTCCAAACCCACAGAATGTCCATCACCAAGAGCGAACCCTGATGAGAACTATGGACTTTGGGTGATGATGATGTGTCAATGCAGGTTCATCAGTTACAATAAATTGACTGCTCTTGTAGGGGATGTGAGTAACGGGGGAGGCTATGCATGTGTGGGTGCAGGGGATATACGGTAAGTCTCCGTACTTTCTGCTCAATTTTGCTGTGAATCTAAAACTGCTCTTAAAAAAAGAAAAAAGCACACAGAGCAGGTCTGCATGTTGCTTTGAGGATTCAGAAGGCACTTAGGACAATTACAGTACCTCAGGGTCATGAGGCAAACAATCAGACCTGCCAAGACTTAAGGCCCCAAATGCATCACTTCTGACATCCACTCGGTCCCGGAATCCCCTGCCCCGTGAATATCCATCTTAGTGTGCATGCCTCCAAGAATGGGGAGCTCACTACTTTGCAAGGCAGCCCATTCTGTCTCAGGAGAGTTCTACTATTTAAAAGCTCTTCCTCCAACTGTCCCCCACTGAGCAATGGGCCCACTTTCATTTCCTTGGGGTTTGTACCATTCTAGTCCTATTGCTTCTCTCTGAGCTAAATATCCACAGCTACTGAATCTGCCCTCCATGAAAAGTGTTAAATCCTCAATTCCTCCTCTGAGTTCCTCTGGTTTTCCTGGGGACCCAAGGCTCTGCTTCCCCAAAACACCCACTCCAGGGTTCCTTTCTAGAACAAACCAAAGGCGTGAAGTATTTCTTTGACTCTTTCATCACTGACGGCTCTGGAGGATTCTGGAGGCTAGAAACGTGTACCCCACCGCATACATTCCAAAAAAGTCATCACAGCATAAAGCAGGGTGGAACAAACACAACTCGGGATTTGAATTCCAACCCTGTCACTTACCTACCAGGAAAGTTTTCTGAGCTTCAGTTTCTTCTCCTGTACAATGGGGATCATCATTCCTGTTTTTGAGGACCACTGGGAGGCTTACCTCTGATTGTGCTGATGTAGTGAAAGCGGGTGTCAGGCACACTGCAGGAGCTCAGGTACCAGACGGACGGTCTACAGAGGCAGGAGTGAGGGTCTGGGACGGTCACAGAGATTGCATTTGCCTTGCAGTAAGGCCACAGCCACTCGAGGGTGTCCAGAAAAAAGCCCTCTCTGACACGCACACGCTCCTGTGTCCAGGCAGTGAGCCTGCGGGCACTGATAGCAAGAGTCCTTCTCACGCTTCTCTTCAGGGCTCAAACTTTAGATTTACTGCGGCCTGTCCCATCCCATTCACTGCCAACCCCTCTGACTCTCTCTGATCTGTGCCACCGGTGAAGGGCATTGGGGGGGGGGGCAGGAGGCACAGAGAAGTGGCCCAGCTGAGCGACATCTGGAAATGAGCAGTGCCTGCGGGGACGTCCGCGGGGTGTTGTGACCTGCACAGTGCGAGGCTCCAGCACAGCCCTGTTGCTTCCGTGGTTGCTATCATGGTCATGAGGTTGCTTCTCCTCTTCCCTGCGGGTTTCCTAAGGGGTCACACTCCAGTGGCGGGGTGGTCTGCTGGAGAAAGACTAAATTTTATTGTACATTAGAATCACCTGCAGGCTGGTCACCCATGCAGGTGCCAGGGCCCTGCTCTGGGGACTGTGATTTGAGGTCTGGGTACTATTCACTGAAATGACAGACTGTGGCAAGTCTCAGTCGATCGAGGTTTACTGAGTTGATAAGCTTCAATTGCCGTTTATCGAGAGTTTGAGGGTGCACCTGGGAAAAACACAAACCACAGAAAATACGTGTGGCCTATGCTCTCCGAAGAGGTTTTCCTGAGGCTTAGTATTGTAAATCAAAGAGAAACTGACTGAGGCAGCTCTCAATTATTTTTGAAGTTTATTTTGCCAAGGTGAAGGACACAATCAGGAAAGAGGGACACAGAATCACAGGAAACATCTCTGGCCCATGATTCTTGCAAAGAAGGGACTTCACTATTTAAAGGGAAAAGAGCAGGCGGTAGGGGAAAGAGGGAGGAAAAAGGGGGGAAAGGTGGCATAAAGAAGCAAGTAGTAGCACCCCTTTGAGCCTTTTCATTCACTTCACTGAATGCACATTTTTCATGTGAAAGAAGCAGGTGGAGGGATCATCAATTCGG